CTCCTAACCACTGCTGATACTATTCCACGCTTTATTTAACTCCTGTTTTTTAAAAAAGACAAGATTGGCTCTCAATATTAGGGATGTGCTGAGGTGTTTATGGGTCCCGGTCCCAGGCTCCTTCCTTTCTCCAGAGGGAGCGGATAGAGGCAGCTACTGGTGGCAAATAAATATGGTAGCCCAATGGCCTTCTCCAATGGACTCTGATTCCAACAGACTCCAACCGCCTTGGAATGCTCCTGTCAATCACAAGCAGCTGTTCACCAATACTCTTTAAAATACCTAGAGCATTACACCAGCTTCTTTAACTCCTACTACTCTTTTATCAGCCTTTTGTACTCTTAACTTACAAAGGCTATAGGGAAGGATTTTGGATGTTATTCACATGTTCAGAGCACAGTTATGGATCAGCGGTGGGGAGTCTTTCTTCTGTCAAGGGGTGGGATAATCTGTTAGGGGCCACATGCCAGAATAAAGGCAGACCCCTATTGCCAGAGGTCTGAACTGCCTGCCTGTAGGAGGGATCATGAAGGTCATCTATTCCAACTCCCTGCAATGCAGGAATATTTTGCCCAATGTGGGACTTGAGGCCACTGCCATGAGATTAAGAGTCTCATGCTCAACTGACTGAGCTATAGCAGCCCCTTTTTTCCATTTTGGTATTCCCCTTGCCCAAAACAATGACCTAAATTAGAAATGCAGCAGTGATGAGGTGCTCAGTACTTATGTTATTACACCCCCACCAGAAGTTACAGCATGGAAGGGGACTGAGGGAAGGGACAAATGTGTTGGTCTTCCACTAGGTGAACCAGATCTGCCACAAGCCTACCACTTTGCCCTGGGAGACTTATGGGAGGACAGAATTCACAAAATATAAAATGCCATTAACAACATCTATTCTAAATATGGTCAAGCTACCTCTCTGCTTTCTGGAACATGTCCCTGTCGTGTCTTTCAGGGAGATACAGTGGTACCTCAGGTTAAGTACTTAATTCGTTCCGGAGGTCTGTTCTTAACCTGAAACTGTTCTTAACCTGAAGCACCACTTTAGCTAATGGGGTCTCCTGCTGCCGCCGCGCCAACGAAGCACAATTTCTGTTCTCATCCTGAAGCAAAGTTCTTAACCTGAAGCACTATTTCTGGGTTTGCGGAGTCTGTAACCTGAAGTGTATGGAACCTGAAGCGTATGTAACCTGAGGTACCACTGTCCTGGGAATGTCTTTTAAAAAAATGTGTTCTGCAGATTTCAAAATTCGATTTTAGTAAATGGACACAACATATCAGTACACTCCTTCTCTTCCATCCCTCCACTCACAGTAAATGGGGACAATAAAAGTTTCCGAACAGGCTTGAGTTGCAGCTTTTCTATGCAAGTGCAACCAGATCCGTTATGAGAGTCATCGTTCTTCAGGTTTTTTAAAAAAGTAAACTAGTACGGTCAGTTTACTAACAGTCCCTTGCTTAAGAAACCAATACAGATCAGGCTATTGCAGGGTAAATGAATGTACAACATGTATTTTAGATGGAGAAAAGATTTCCCAATGTGCAAGAAAGAGGTGGTGGGGGAGGCAAGCAGAGCTGCTTTGTGAAAGCAAAGGTGCTATTTATGCTGCAGTGTTGCAGACACTATTGCACTGACCTGAGTAGGCTTCTTTTCAATGCTTCTCAAGTAGAACTCATTCCCTGCTCAGACATCCTGGTCCCCAATAAACAAACCCCACAATTCTGATGTGGAAACTCTTAGCCCCCTGCTCCTTGGCAGGACCAGCTGTTCACAAGATAATTCAGAGTTGCATCCTGGAATTGGGGTTGGCTGTGCAGAGGGCAACACTCACCCAGAAGAAACAAGAGGCGTTGTTGCATTGTCTTAGTGGCCGGCTCTGCGTCCTGGTCAGCTGCAAAGGAAACTCTGTAAATCAGAGGCGTTTTTTATTGCCGGCAGAGGACCCAGGCAGTGAGTCAGCCAGGCAGAAAAGAGTGGGAAACACCCCTGCTTGCTCTGGGCCATGTAGCCTCCAATCTGCAGCCTGGGAAGAGGAAAGAGCCAGAGTGGGGGAGACCGATAGGAGGCGTTTCAACAATCCTGGGAGAGCCACATTTGTGCAAGGATTTTCAAAGGAACAACATTGGTAGTAGCACTTCTGAAATGGTGTGTTCTGGCTACAAGAGGTATAAGCTCTCATTCATTCAATTTCATTCAATGCAGTATTTCTTTTGCATTTCCAGTCCACTTGTGTGCAGAGGTGGGGAGAAAGAGTGAAAACATTCTTCAGAGCCACACCTGGATGATGGACTCAAGGGCATCCTGATCAAATTTGCAGATGACACCAAACTGGGAGGGGTGGCTAACACCCCAGAGGACAGGATCACACTTCAAAATGACCTTGACAGATTAGAGAACTGGGCCAAAACAAACAAGATGAATTTTAACAGGGAGAAATGTAAAGTACAGTATTGCACTTGGGCAAAAAAAATGAGAGGCACAAATACAAGATGGGTGACACCTGGCTTGAGAGCAGTACATGTGAAAAGGATCTAGGAGTCTTGGTTGACCACAAACTTGACATGAGCCAACAGTGTGACGCGGCAGCTTAAAAAGCCAATGCGGTTCTGGGCTGCATCAATAGGAGTATAGCATCTAGATCAAGGGAAGTAATAGTGCCACTGTATTCTGCTCTGGTCAGACCTCACCTGGAGTACTGTGTCCAGTTCTGGGCACCACAGTTCAAGAAGGACACTGACAAAGTGTCCAGAGGAGGGCAACCAAAATGGTCAAAGGCCTGGAAACGATGCCTTATGAGGAACGGCTAAGGGAACTGGGCATGTTTAGCCTGGAGAAGAGGAGGTTAAGGGGTGATATGATAGCCATGTTCAAATATATAAAAGGATGTCCCATAGAGGAGGGAGAAAGGTTGTTTTCTGCTGCTCCAGAGAAGCGGGCACGGAGCAATGGATCCAAACTACAAGAAAGAAGATTCCACCTAAACATTAGGAAGAACTTCCTGACAGTAAGAGCTGTTCGACAGTGGAATTTGCTGCCAAGGAGTGTGGTGGAGTCTCCTTCTTTGGAGGTCTTTAAGCAGAGGCTTGACAACCATATGTCAGGAGTGCTCTGATGGTGTTTCCTGCTTGGCAGGGTGTTGGACTCGATGGCCCTGGTGGTCTCTTCCAGCTCTATGATTCTACCTCATCACTAGCCATCCCTTGCACATTTTCCTCAGTCCTATTTCATCTCCCATCCCTTACTTTGTGGCCCCCTACACCTTTTGTAGAAGAGGCAGGCACCTCTTCTGCACCTTTAGCAGTATCACACAAGTGAATGCTTTTCCATGAGGCCTCCGTCCAAACTTCCACTGCTGGAACTTCTGTCATGTGCTGGAGAAAAGATAGTAAACTTACACAAATGCTTTTTCTACCCTTTCCCACTGTCCCTATTTATCTTAATTTTCTATCTCGACACATCTCCCACACCCTCTGGCTTTGTTCCCACCTCCTTCAACTTCCTTTCTACCTGGCCTCACTGCCCCTTTCCTTTAATACACTGCTGAATTAAATCCAATCATTGCTTCCCACTGAGTTCCACAACTGTTTTTTTCAACGACACACACTTAAGCCCTCCCCTCAGCCATTTCCCTGACCAGTTCCCCCTTCTCAGAGGGCAAACAGCAGCTGGGGGGAGGTCCACCATTTTCACTGAGGAACAGAGCTCAGGTGAATATCCCTTCCCCCTCCGTTGCCCTTTTCAAATGAATTGGCGGATATGTTTCAAAGGAAGAAGTGCTGGAATATCACTTTGCAAAGCTGCTGTGTAACATGTTGTTTGTCCCTACCCTCATTTCACAAGTATTAGAGCTGGTTTTGGTGCAAGTACTCTGCCTCTGTTTGCTATCTATAAAATGGCATCTTACCCACCAAGATAACAGTGGTTGACTTGTTCATTCAGCGTGGGATAAACACGGGGAGACACCAAGTCAGCTGCCACAAGCTCCTTGGAAGAAGGGCAGAGTACAAATGAGAGAGCATGGAAACCATTCTGACAGGGTTCTGTGGCCCCTGCTTGAGGCCCACAGACCTGTGAAAGTTCCTGTGCTTCATGATATTCCGAGCTTCCTTATCTTCACACCCACACAGGGATGAAATGTAGACTGACGCTGGTTGGAAGCACAGCAGCAGCAACAGCAGCAAGGCAATAGCCAAATCTGTCCACAGGGAAAGCATGTCACAGGAAATATGAGTCACACCCACCATCCCAGAGAAGCAGCTGGTCTTCTGGTATTTAGGAAAAGAGGAACAGAAACAGTCAAGATGAGGTTGTGTCTGGGGAAAATCACAATGGAGGTACCACCAGAAACATGAACCCAGGCCCTGCGGCTTTGAGCGAGCCTGGGGGACCCAATGGTGGCTATTCCTAGTTTATGGGATGCACCCATTGCTCCAACAAGAATTTCTGTTACTGGGTTTGTTCCATGGTTTCTAGCACAATAACTGGTAACCATGGCAACCCAGCACTGCACAGCTAAACATTCCAGACTAATTTAGAGCAGCGGCAGGCTACTTTGGGGAGGATGACCAGTAAAATATAGTTAAGTGCATAGTTGCTAGGATTTTTTGTTGGGGTAATTGGTGTGCACACAAACCACATTTGCAACAGTTTATTCAGCCTAGTCTGGTCCCTGGGACTTACGTTTTACAAAGTCAGGCTGCAGCTCTAGAACATGTGAAGCAATCAACTAGTGCTTTTGAGAATGTGTAGCGAACCTTTCCCAGCACTACTAAGTATTCACAGCTTATGTCCTACACAGTTTGAAATTTATGGCAGTAGATTCCTGATCAAAGACTGTCCCTTCCATCTAAGGGTGCTGGGCACCAAACTTATTTTTTCAAAGGGCTGCAAGGCAACACTAGTGTAATATGTCTGATGTGGAGCTGCCCTGGACTCTTCAGAAATTTCAGCCTGCATCAGATAAGCAGGAGTACAGCAAATTTCCATGCCATTCAGATTGTTTTAAAATGTGCATTTAATTAATTTCTAATCTTAACCTTCATCTGCCAATGAGGTTTACACACAGAGTGTAACTGAACTGCCAAGTCATTAAAACTATTTAATTAAAACCATCTAAATATTTATTTATACACACATACAAAAAGTCATTCCTTTCCAGTGTTTTGAAACCCTCTCCAAATCACCACCCATTTGGATTCCTCCCTCTCCCTACCCAACATTCATTTCTTAAATGGAGGAACATCTACCCCCATTTTAAATTACATAAACCTGGGGAAGCCATTTGACCTTTGGTGGAACAACTCTCTGTATCACAAGTTTTCCCCTCTGGATTCTCCACATATAAAGATCTAATCTTTGTGGACATGTTTTATCACCCTCACACTTCCAAGCCCATTTCCCAGTTTTCATCCACTTTGGGAAAATACATTTCCCCTAGACACACTAGGGTAGGCAAGCTTTTTATTTGTGAGGGTGGGGTGGGGGGTAGTGGAGATTTTTTTCCCCTCATCCAATGGCCCAACTTTTCCAAGGAAGGTGATTTCCAGCTGAAATCATCATCATCCTGCTAAAAAGAAATGAGCCATTGCTCCCTGTTCCTCCTTTAGGGATCGCTCCTGTGGGGAAAAGGAAATGGCTCATATTGAGAGCACTTATAATGAAAGCAAAATATCTCCTCTACACCCAATACCAGGTAACCCAGACCCCACCAACAGGGATTCATTCCAGAGGGTTGCAGGGTGCATTTCTGTATTATGAACTACACCCCTGGGTCCAGCCACTTCTTCCCACTCATAATCACAGGCCGTTAGCAAGACATATTTATCTATAGTGTTATCATAAATTTCCCTGAATCGCCTTATCATAGAGTCTCCAGTCTGCTGTGTCCTCTTGGGGAGTGGGGTGAACACACAGAGATGCTGCAAGCCCAGGCTGACTTGAATTGGAAGCTGGGAGCTGGAAATGTGATTCCCACCCATCCCACAACCAATCCACAGTTTTATCAATTGCTTCAGCCTCTGGAGGAACTGGGATCCAGAAGCCACATGGAAGAGGTTCTCTCTCTTCAGACCCCAAGTCCCGGGACTCAGGAGGAAGCTGAAAGGCTCCATAGAGGCAAAGTCCCTGTCAGCTGCAATGATACCATTAAAAAAATCCACCCATGTGCGTATAGAGACACAGTTGACAGGATCAGCCTTGACCTATAAACCTCTAGACCATCCTCGAATCTACCTAGTTTGACAGCTGTACAAATCCAACAGAGAACAAAGTGCCATTTGCCATCTTGTAAGTCAAACTGCATGTTGCATGGAAATGAGTGTAACAGAACCCCAGCAGATTTTTTTTAAGGAAAAGCAGCTTGGGAGGGAGGGGGAGATTTGGAGCAAGCAGAAAAGTTGTCCACACACACCTGTGCATATTCCTAAAATATGCACCACCACCCACCCACTCACCCACACAAAAAAAGCATTCCTCCCCATGAAGTTCCAAATGCACAAAAAGACAGTAGAATAGGGCAAGGCTATACAGCAACCCAGCCAGATGGATGGGGTATAAATAATAAAATTATCATTATTATTAAATAAAACATAGCAAATAAATAAATAAAGCTCCTTGGCATAGAGCCCTGCCCTCTCATATTCTGTAAAATGCCATTCACACCAACTGCACTAAATCCAGGTTTGCTTGATATGCAGTATTTATGCAAGTCCTAGAATTTGAGGTTCACCCTGGTGTAAGATTTGAATGTGTTTGGTGTAGAGTCTGACCAGAGGCAGGGCATGGGGTGGGGGACAACAACTAACTATTGGTTATTTCCACTCTTCAAAACTATGGACAGATAACCTGGGGTGGCTTTGGTAGAAAACTCTAAATGACAGGGAGCCTGAGTGACGTGGCAGACCGGGGAGAAGGCTCTTAATGGACAACCCTTTCCCCTGATTAGCTCTGTGTTCATGGCTACAGTGTCTGATTTTCCAGGCAGAGAAAGCCACTTTTGTTGAGAGGAACTGCCCTGTTTGTGGGCTTAAGAGATGACTTGTTCCCTGCAGTCTTGCTTCTGGCGCTCGGTGCTTTCCCCACATTTAGGGGGCGGGCAGGGATTCCTGAAGACTAGTGGCTAACTGGCAGGCAGACCAACTAGAGCTCCTTGCTGAACTCCTGCTGAATGGTGTAGCCCAGCCACCGCCGCCCACCACTCATGTTGTAGCCAGTGCTCTCAAAGAGCCCAATCGCCGCCTTGGTGACTACCGAGACCTGGGCCACTAAGAATTTGAAGCCCTGGGCGCGAGCGTGAGCCTCCAGGAAGCTGAGGAGGGAGCGGCCCACACCAGAGCGCCGGTACCACCGGTTCACAGCCAGGCGCTTCAGCTCCGCCGTGCGTGGTTCCCCGCCGCAGGGCTCCAGAGCCACGCAGCCGCACACATCGTCCTCGTCGTAGACAGCCACCCACAGCCCGCGCTGCCCTGTGCTGTAGTAGGCATGCAGGTGCCTCAAGTCCGGCGAGCGCCACAGCAGAAGCTTCAGAGCCACCACGGTGAGCAGGACCGGCAGCACGAGAGCCACCACAAACGAGTTCAGGAAGAAACGCAGGCCGCTGCTCACCACCGCCATCAGCAGCAAAGCCAGAGGCCGCGTCAGCACATAGAGGATCAGGCGGTTCTCTGTATCCTTGAATCCATCCTGGTGGGGAAAGAAATAGAAAGGGATATGAAGTAAAGGACCATATACAGCTATGAGGGACCAGGGATGCATTGTGTATCTCTAAACAAATGCTTATCATTCACTTTACCTGAAAACGTACAAGGAGGGGAATTCTATGATGTCTGTAGCAACTTGCACAGAGCTAAGAAAAGGCTGGAGAGACAAGGGCCACACTGAAAGCAGAACTGTCCTGCAGATAGGAAAGTTGTTCTACCCCAGCTTCTCTAGAATGCAAGCCCTAGTGGGAAACAAGGAACCTCGACAAAAGAGCATTGGAATTGAGATAGAGCCAGTGGATTGAACCACGCTTTCTTTCCCTTAGGGAATTTTCTTCCCAGTCTTTAAGTGTGGCGGGAATTTTCTTTCTAGTGTTTAACTGTGGGATAAATAACACAGTAACACAATTGCTTATTGCCCAACCCTTAGAGGTAAGTGTCATCAAATGTAGCTCCTCTTCTTGCCAAGTTCCCTTTAATTTTTTTTTTTATGCTGCAAACATCTCCTCAATTTTCTCTCTCTCTAGGTTTAATATGCTCAATTAACCCGCCCCCCAATCAGAGTGGATGTGGCAGGAAGAGTGGGCTGCATTCACACAGCAGTTTATTCTGTTCTCTAATTTCTGCATTATATTTGTGCTTTTACATTATGTAAAAGCTGCTTCTGGAAATCTAGCAGAATATGGTAAAGTTTAGTGCTCATTTCCATATTAATTGCTTTCATAAAAAATCTGTTTGCAACCCAATAAGCCAGAAAACTGTAGGTGTAAAGTGACAAAAATTGAGGCGGTATGCCAGCATAAAGTTCTTCCCTACTGTTTTCATGGGTGAATCATGGGAGAACAAAAGCATGCATGTGCGGAAAGGGTAGTGGAGGAGTGGCAGTGTTCAGTAACCTTCGTTGTTGTGTCACACCACACTCACTGCTGTCAATGAATTTTAGCGTGAAATTATCAGTCAAAAAAACCACCTTTGCAACAGGTACTGCAGTGTGAAAGGAATGCAAGAAAACAGAAGTGCTAGCATCACAATCAGGAAATAAAGTTGCATGCAGAACCAGTAATCCCAGTTCAGTGGTTTTCAAACATCCCTGCCCATTCCAACTTGTCTGTTGAGGAGCTCTGCACTTTGCAGAAGATGCAAAGCTGAAACAGCTTCCTAGAACTGAAACAGCTTCCTAGAACACACACACACACAGTTCCCTTGCAATGTGCAACTGCTCTAACATATGAAGTAGACCATGGGTAGGCAAACTGAGCCTAGGGGCCGGATCTGGCCCAATCGCCTTCTAAATCCGGCCTGTGGATGGTCTGGGAATCAGCGTGTTTTTACATGAGTAGAATGTGTCCTTTTATTTAAAATGCATCTCTGGCTTATTTGTGGGGCATAGGAATTCATTCATTCCCCCCTCCCCCCCAAAAAATATAGTCCGGTCCCCCACAAGGTCTGAGGGACAGTGGAGCAGCCCCCTGCTTAAAAGTTTGCTGACCCTGAAGTAGACAATGCAATGTCCTCCAGTTTGGTGGATTACAACTCTCACCAGCCCATCAGCATTGCCAGTGGTAAAGGAAGGGAGTTGTAGTCCACAATATCTGGAGAACACCAAACTGCCTTTCCCACTTCTAGGGGAAGGTTCCTATTAAATGACACATTCCATAAGTCTTTAGAAAGGAAGGAGAGTGCTTATATAGCCTGGGCTCTCCACCACCTCTCTCAGAAGCCCACCTCACCTTCAGAAGCTCCAAGACAATTGGTGTCTCCTCCTCTCTCATTTCTCTGATGGTCAGTTGCTCAGGTTCCAGGGTAGGCATGCTGGCAGCCAGCAGATGGCACCTTCAAAGAGGGAAAGCCCAGTTATTGTCTTATTTGTCCTTGATGAGAGGCTGGGATGGACAAGGAAAGTGTCTCCAACTAGCATGGGCCATTTGTCAGAGCCCAACCTTCCACCGTGGCTGGGGACACTCTTAAGTAAATGGGGAGCATTTTTATGTTGAAGCAGCACAGAAACCAGAGGCAGTGTGGTGTAGTGGTTAGTGCTGGACCAGGCCCTGACAGGCTAAGGTTCAAGTCCCCACTCAGCTATGATGTTTGCTGGGTGCCTTTGGGCCGGTCACTGGCTCTTAACTTACCCCACAGGGTTGTTGTGAATATTAGATGAAGAGTGGGTAGATAACCAGGCACACAACCTTGAGCTCTGTATAGGAAAGGCGGGATACAAATACAGCAATAATAATAATCTTGGGGGATGAGGAGAAAGACTCCTACTCCAATCTCTTCCTAAAGGAGAATAAGTACTTTGGGGGGGGGGGGGTCAATCTAACAAACACAGAAGCAGCAACTTCCTACAATGCCAGCAAGAGTTGAAAACTATTTTGCTTGTGGCATGGTTCTTGTACATTTACACACAGGAAAAAATCAGAACTCCTCTCTTCTCAACAGACACCCTTTCCATTTTAAAGTGTTAAATGCCTGGCAATCGTTCTCCAATTTAAATGCACAGCAGCCCTGGTAAGAAAAGAAGCTGGCAACTCTTAAAAAGGCAACTACAACCGGTATAGCTGGGAAGAATATATTCTTGTTCAGCAGCAGATTCACTCGCAGTCTTTTGGCCTTAGTTTCCCATCTGTTTAAACAGGGACCACATGCCTCCTGGGGTCGTTTTGAAAAGGAACGTGACCGAGGCCGTGTATACCTTATGAAATAACACTTGCACGCCCCCCCCCCCATTTAATTAAAGGTCGTGGGAGCCATTTTACCAGCAGCCTCTGATTCCCAGCTAGCTCCCTGCGCCCCCTACTCTATTTGCAAAGTAGGCTCCCTTGCAATGGAGCCCCACCGTTATTTTATGCCACATAACGGACAAAAATAACGCGACGCCCACATTTCTCCGGCCTGCCCCTTCTGCTCCTCCCGAGAGCAAAGGCAGATCCGCAATAAAACGCCAGCACCACCGTCGTAAACTGACCGGGCACGGCACTCTAGCCCTTGCGGCCACACCCCTCCGCAGAAATAGAAACGCCCGCAAACCTTCTCCACTCCCCCCCTAGGCGCGGAATGGACTCACCCAGCCTGTAGGAAGCGGCTGCCTTTGCCCCTGCATAAAAGGAGCGTGGAATTCTCCGAGGCCTCCTACATCTCTCTCGCTCCCCGCCCGCTTTTTCAGGAGGGAGGGAGGGAGGGGGGAAGGAGAGGGGAAACCAGCTTCGCCCCAAGAGCCTCTTCTTAGTCAACCCTCCCCAGCTTCGCAGCTCCAACTCCTCACTCCATAAGCGCATGCGTGGCGCTCCTGGCTTCTTCGGCGCCTTTCGCTCCTTACGCAGTTCTTGGCAACTGTTGCTAAGGGGGCGAAACGGGGCCTTCAAGCGCTGCGAGTCCCAAACCCGTTTTGCCTTTTATGGGAGAGAGCGGGCAGCCGCGGGGGTGGGTTCAGTTTGAATGGCTTAGGACTTAGGGAAATAACTGACTTTCTAATTATCTTTTTCATGGTGAAGTGGTAGGCGGGGATTCAACGGGTACTGCTGTAGCCAGCTAGTAGAGAGGGAAATCTGGAAAAGCCTTCCCCTATTGCTGCCAGTCTGCTATGGAACTGTTTAAAAAACCCGACCTGCTGCCCATAATGTAAACAGCTGGTGGCTGTTAATGTATCATTCTCGTTATGTACCCATTTTATGCTGTTGACATGAAGTTGGAAGCCACCCGGAAGTATATGTGTCTTTCCATAAGGGTTTTGTTTTTCAACTTTTTTTTAGAGTTGCACAGACTTGTTTGTATGGATTGAGTTTGGGGCTCATGGTTAAGATAGCAACATTAAAGGGATTTGTTTCATTACGTTGTAAGCATTGAATTCCCGAGAGTAACCTTTGACATGTTGCTTTCTCAATGTAAATATTAAGAAATTAAGCATCGTTGTTGGAGATAAGCTGGTGCACTAATTTGATTTGTACCCATTCTGTTTTGCCTGTGAGCTTCCTTTTTGCAACCAGCTGGCTGCTGGCCGATGTCAAAAGGAAATGGATATTGGTCTGAAGAAGCATAACAGTTCTGAGTGGTTTAGAAGCTGGCATTTAAAAACAGTAACATTGGCATTGACCCAGTAAACCATTTGTAACCCATTTTGTTCATCATTGCAAAATGGGGATGTTACTTTTAAAAAAACTCTTTAACGTCACCACAAGGTGGCTGTCAAATTCACATGGGGCATAGGTCCTTTTAACAGCTCCTTGCCTGTTAAACAAGCATTAAAACCAGCAGTTCACATTGGCAAAAAATGCAATGTGTGAAATGGCTAAGGCAGCATTACAATTATGTCTGTCTTCACCTTAAGCATATCTGTGAGCCATTCACCTCCTGCCATGCAGTACAGTGGTACCTTGGTTCTCAAACGCCTTGGCTCGCAAACACCAAAAACCAGGAAGTGTTCCAGTTTCCAAAAGTTTTTTGGAAGCTGAACATCCGATGCGGTTGTCGGCTGTTGTTTCTGGGGTGCCTGCACCAATCAGCTGTGCCTTGGTTTTGGAACATTTTGGAAGTTGAATGGACTTCCAGAACAGATTAAGTTTGTCACTTTTGTTTTTGCTATTTATTTTGTGTTTTTGTTTTCGAGGCTTTTTCGGTTAATTTGTTTTTGTGACTGCATGGAACTCAGTTCAGCTACTGATTGATTGTGCGACTGCAGAAATGGATAAAAGCCCCCCATCCAAACAATGACTATCATCAGTGCAGGTAAGAAAAAAAAGTAATTTTAATTTTTATCTACAATACTATTTTATACTACAATACATTGATTATTGCTTTCATTTTATGGATCAGTGGTCTCATTAGATAGTAAAATTCATGTTAAATTGCTGTTTTAGGGGTTGTTTTTAAAAGTCTGGAGCGGATTAATCCATTTTGCATTACTTTCTATGGGAAAGCACGCCTTGGTATTAGAATGCTTTGGTTTTGGAACGGACTTCTGCAGAACCAAGGTACCACTGTATTTAAGAACATGATTAACACAGTGGGGGGGGGGGAATCCCCTGTGGAACAGGAGTGTTGTCCCACACTGACCCTGAGAGTTGGTTCTTCATCTTTTCAGTATTTTGTCCTGTAAAAGTGCCTTCCCCATGTTCTCTGCTGGAGGTGGGGAACCAGTGGCTCTCCCAAGATAATCAGTTCTCAAGTACTAAAATGCAATGCATCATATAATTTATAGAGTAAGATACTGAGAGGGAAGATTGCTAACAAACCATAAATAGAAAGAGCATGGCCAGGTTTCACTTGTTTAGCTTTTGTGGACAGCTTTTTCTGTACAGTGGTACCTCGGGTTAAGAACTTAATTCGTTTTGGAGGTCTGTTCTTAACCTGAGGTACCACTTTAGCTAATGGGGCCTCCTGCTGCTGCGCCGCCTTGCAATTTCTGTTCTCATCCTGAAGCAAAGCTCTTAACCTGAGGTACTATTTCTGGGTTAGTGGAGTCTGTAACCTGAAGCATCTGTAACCTGAGGTACCATTGTACAGGTTATTCAAGTGTAGAAGAAGAAGAAGAGTTTGGATTTGATATCCCGCCTTTCACTCCTCTTCAGGAGTCTCAAAGTGGCTAACATTCTCCTTTCCCTTCCTCCCCCACACCAAACACTCTGCGAGGTGAGTGGGGCTGAGAGACTTCAAAGAAGTGTGACTAGCCCAAGGTCACCCAGCAGCTGCATGTGGAGGAGCGGAGATGAGAACCCGGTTCCCCAGATTACGAGACTACCGCTCTTAACCACTATTCCACACTGGCTCTCACTGTGTAGGGCTACAGTGTGCAGCACATAATTGGCTCAGCCACCTGAGCCATCAGTTTGGTGGATCTCAGTGTTCTCGGAGGAAGAAAAGAAAAAAACCCCACAGGAAATCCCACAAGTCTCAACTCTGCCCACTTTGGTCTTTGGTTCTCAGCTCAACCACAATCATTCCTCAAACTGCAGAACCTCCTACCCCAAGAAATTCACCAAACATGTTGCATTTTCCAGAAATCTTGTACAGAGAGACCTCATTTGCATTGACTTTCAACACTAAGCTGAAGTTCCCATTTAGGCTTGAGTCCCAGCACCTTTCAGTTTAAAATTCAATATCCAGCATGTTGAAGCCGCTTGAGAAAAACATAAGCAGTTTCCTCTAAGCAGGAACCTTTTATCTTGTACCTCTCAAGCCTGTTAAAGCTGCAGGGCTGCAGCTCAGTTGTAGATCACATGGTTTGTATGGAGAGGAACACAGGTTCAAAGCCACAATATCTCAAGAGAGGGCTGAAAAAGATGTTTGCCTGAAATGCTAGAGAGCTGTTACCGTTCAATCTAGATCGGGGTTTCCCAAACTTGGGTCTCTAGCTGTTTTTGAGCTACAGCTAGGACTGCTGGTCAGGGATGATGGGAATTGTAGTCCAAAAACAGCTGGTGATCCAAGTTTGGGAAACCCTGATATATACATTACTGAGCTAGATGGACCAATGGTCTTACTCTGTATAAGGCAACTTCCTATGTTCTTAGTTGACTTCCTTTGGGGACTGTGCAATCTGCTACTGAAATGCCAATCAGACCTAAAAAGCACAAAAGAAGTATGACATGTATTGATGAACCCAGCCTCTGCACAGTACACAGAAAGGAGTAAAAATGCTTTGAGGCAGTCTTTTATTTTTCTTCTAGACCAAGAGTCTATGACCCTCTTGTCTGTTAGCACCAGGAACTGGGGTACACTTGGGAAGAAATGTGGTTCTGCACATGGTGAGGGGCTGGAATGGAGAATAGATAAGAGGGGCTTAACCGGAAAAAGATGCTGTTTATGACAGCTCATAAAGCAGCCTCCTGCAGCCCCCAGTATCAAAGGAAGACCCAAAAACTCGAACTTTCCCCATTTTCTAATACATAAAAAGAGCTCACACTGCTCCACAGCACTTAGCTCCAAAATTGCAACACAGCAGGGAAATGGAGAGAAGCCAGCAGTCCAGTTGATATCTGCTAACTATATTTTCTGTCTAGTGTGGAGAGGAAAACCAGGAATTCTGGCTGCACAGTCTTCCAACCATCAGACCTCACATACATTTGGTTCTTGTTGGAACAACGTATTTCAGACAGGATGGGGAAATGGGTAGGTTAGGGAATTGTATCAAGGACTGGACTGGCTATCCCTTTCTCACATGCAAAACAAGACAAAAGTGTTTGGGGGAAGGACATGGTAGTGGAGCCATTGTAACTGCAAGGACACGAGCAGCAACAGCAATCCCCATGTGAGCAGGAAGTGAGGGAATCAAGGGTATGCTTTGGACTGGCAGGCATGGGCGTGAGCTAAGCTCTCTGCTGTCATTTCATGACACTGTCCTGAGGAACCTAAGCTGAGCCACCTCCAGGAGTCTTGAAGTTGCCCAGGTCGATCCTGTCCGGCAACACAGTTAATTATAGCAGCCACTAGTGAGAGCACAACTGAGTCTCAGTTGGTACTCCAACGCAGGGATGGGGACAGCTGTCCTCAGAAAGTGTGGACAAGCTGCATGTTGGGTACCGTTTGCACAATCTGAATGGAGGGCAGGCCTTGCGAAGTTACTGGGCTCGGCAGAAGTTGCACCATTTGGGAGGTGCTGTTGCTGTCCCCAGTAGGTTGGGTGCTGTCTGGGCTGCTCACCTGCAGTGTTGGCACACTCTCCAGCACTTGGAGGGTCTGTTCCCCCTGGGCACTACGGATGATCAGGAGGTTCTGCCCAGTCCCGGCACTACCCTCAGGCCCTTGCAGCTGGAGGCCAGGCAGCTCTTGCACTGTCTGGATGTTGTCCACCTCCTGCACACACAACCGGGTCTGCTCTCCTCCTGCACTTCTCAGCACCAACACATTCTGAACTCCCTCATCGGTCTGTAAAGTTTCAAAGTGCATGTCTTGCACCCCTTCCAGGCTCTCCACCTCCCCGCCTGGCCCCAGAAGCTCCTCCCCTGGAGAGTTCTGCACCACAATTAGGTCCTGGCTTTCCTCCTTCACACCAGGTCCCTGTTGGAGGTCCACCTCAGAAAGCTCATGGGAGCTGGACAGAGAAGTCCCCACCTCATTCATCTCCTGTGGTGGGCTCAAAGTCTGAAGCTGAACACTGGTCATCTCCTCTGAAGGTTGAAGCTGTTCCCCTTCCTGAGAAGAAACCAGCTCCTGGATCTGAATGGTGCCATCCAGCTGTTGCGAAGGCGAGAGGCTCTGGATTTCGACGCTGGTCAAAGGCTGATTGGAGGGGGACAGGCTGTGGATCTGCAGAGGGCTGGTTTGCTGCAGGGATGGCAAGGTCTGGATCTGAATGGGGCCCACTTGC